GAACCACCAGCAGCCAGGGACCAATCAGCAAACCAAAGGTCTACCAAGCCATATGCACTACCTACCATGATCATTGGATGCTTTCCCATCATTGGATAGCTAAAAAAGAAAAGAAAACAAAATATACTATTGTTCAAATAAAATAAAAAGTACAGAATTTCTTGGTAGCATCAAGCTGCCAATCCCTCCTCCCATAACCCTTGAATTTTGAATTTCAAAATTCAAATCCATCCTTCATCACTTTCCTAAAATAATCCTACCAATTAGGAAAGCTATTTATTTCAATTCAATTCAATATTTTAATTCAAATAATTCCCTCCCTAATAAATTTTAAATTAGGAACCCCCACTACAATTAATCAAATCTTTTTCAGATTTGATTTCAATCAACATTTAATCCTCATGGCCCACATACAACGATCCTGGACACCTTGCTCCTCCCTCATGTGGTCGGCCCCCTCCCTTACCTTTTCTCCCTCCTAATCAACTCCCAATCACAATTAATTGCTCCCCGAATCCCCTCTCTAATACTTGCCCATCAAAGCCCAAGCCCTATTTGAAATTTGAATTTAATTTCAAAGTGATTCCCTCCAATTGTACTTAACCTGAAATTAAATTCAAGTTATCTGATCCCAACGTTTTCTAACTCAATCATAGCTGTTCCCCCCTCTCTTCCTCATGTCGTCCCAACCTCCTCCCCTCTACCCAAGCCACCGGCCTACCTCTCCACCCGCCGGCCTACCTCTCTACCAAAGCCCTTGAAGCATATATGGCCGATCTTGAAGTTGATCACGGGATTATTCTCAATCTCAAGGGGAGATTGACGTCATCCAATCATCATTCTTTAACCCCGAATTTGGATCCGAAAGTACCATCAAGGAATACGTTGATCGTATCCTTCCCCACTTAGCGGACGTCATCGACGAACAAAACCTATGGGAGAGTGGAAGATCACCGGACGATCACCCGTTCCTCGAACTCTGACTCCTTCCCCGGCGACTAGCACCCTCAGCATCGCATGTCTTCTAGTGGCGTCTCTGAGTTTGCTTGCAACATTTCTTCTGCTAAGCCAATCACTTTCAAGAGTGTGAGTGAGAGATCCCATGGTGAACGGTCTAATTATTAAACTGTGGATTTTATTAACTTGCCATTTGTTTTACTCATTTATTTGTTGTTGTTATTTTGCAAGTACTCTAGTAATCGCTTGCCAGTACTTAATCTTTTCATGGAATTTTCTAAGATCTAACTTGAAGAAGCATCTGTTTATATTTAGCCAAGCAAAGTTTGTATTTTACTAATTTCTTAAAAGCATTTCTTGTTCATCATCATTGTTTCACAACATATTTGGTATCAGAGCATGTCTAGCATAGGCTATGCCTGTTAGAAATCATCCTAGGGAACTATGTCATCATTCTTAAGTATCATTGCATGCTCATTATTCTTAACTAATGTGGCCATGTAAGCTGCAAGTCTTGGTATCACAATATAGATAGAGAAATCGTGATAGAAGGCAGTAAGAGAAATTACAATAAAAGTCGCATACATAATTTACTATAAGAAACAAAAGAAAATCTTTATAGTAAAGGAAGTAGTAAAAAACCAGCTGTAGGAATCACCAAAGAAGTCCTACTGCAATAATTGCAAGCCCCACATCTCGTAATTTAATCCAGTAAGTCTGGCTACCAATATCAAGCCATAGTAGAGGTGGGCATATCACAGCAGATCACATCAAAAGGAGATCACACTGAATGATTTTTGGAGCTGAAGAATTACACTGAAGGGTCACTAGAGAAGCATATTCATTGGAACAACTGATTAGGGATTACAGAAGCCAAAGAACAGGGTTAATCTCAAATTACTTTGGCTGAGACGGTCATTGTAGGAACATCAGAGGAAGCTATCAAAGACGTTTCCTAATGAGGGAGGTGAGGAGTTGGGAGGGTGATTATTGAATAAGAGTCCGTCTCCATCACATACTTTGTATAATTATTGAATCATGTTTTATTATGTAGATATTCATAAGGGAGTTATATTTACATGTTTGTTGCATGTCTAAATCAACTTCAAATGCTTTAAAATTTGGCATGCTACTTTTTTCTTAATGTAAATAAAGATGAATTATTCTCATTTGCTAATTAAATTTGCATGATTGAGAAGCAAGTTAGATGTGTATGAATTCTTGTGCGCATATGTGCACTCATGCACATGTGCATGTGCACGCGCCTGTGCATGCATGACCAAATTATCTTCAAGGGCTATGACATTTGAAATATTTTTTCTTTTCATGTTGTACATTAAGATGAATGATTTTGGTTTGCCCATTAAAATCTTGTATGTTTTAGATATAAGTTGGGCTTGTGCATGCGTATATTTGTATGCATGTGCATATACGTGTGTTGCTATATATGTTGACAACCAACTGAATAAGAGTGAAGGACTTTTTTTTTTTTGTTTTATCAAGAGCAAAAAACTTTTTAAATTACTATATTAGAAACATTTTGGTAACTTAGAGACCATTTTAGTTTGTGTTTTGAAGTTCAAATTCTCTGTACTCAGATTATGTTTACTACTCTTTTGAAGCCCTAAACAAATTCATTGTTGCTTTTCTTTAAAATCTTCTTTATTTTTTCTTCTATTCTCTCTTTTTAACTTTAATTCTTCTACAACATAGGAAATTAAAAGGCACTTATAAAGTAAATTGGTTTTTTTCTCTTCTTGCAACTAATTCTCTTTAAAACCCATCATATCTTTTCTCTAACTTGCTAAACTTTATTTCAAGTGCTATTGATCTTTTTCAACCTTTTCATGCATCTTCTTTACTTTAAAAAATTCTTTCTAAAATCCTGTTGTTCTCTTCATATTCCTTATATACGGAGTAGCAATTGTTTGCAGCTCAATAATTAATCAGCGGGTTAGATCTAGTAGACGATCATTCATCTATCTTATTATCACAATTTGGACGTCATATCATATAAATATTGAGAGATCATTTTTGTTAAAGTTTTAAAGGCTTTGTATCTAGAAAGTGTATTTTAAGAAGTGTGAAAAAACTGCAAATGAAATGAATTTAAGCACCGTTGATTAAACACTCCTATGTTCTCCAACAAAAACAAACATTCAATCGAGCTTTTAGAAATTTGATACTGTTCTGTCTTATTGATCAAGAAAGTGTATTTTAAGAAGTGTGAAAAAACTGCAAATGAAATGAATTTGAGCGCCGTTGATTAAACACTCCTATGTTCTACAACAAAAACAAACATACAATCGAGCTTTTAAAAATTTGATACTGTTCTGTCTTATTGCTCAAGGAAATATTCTTTCTGGAATTTAGGTATATGACTATGGACTACATACATTAACTCCTTGATAGCCCTGCATTAGCAGAAACTTGAGCTAGCTCTTTTTAATAATTGGATGATAAAATAAGAGGAGTTCTTTCTAATTGCTGAGATATATGGAAAAACACCTGCTATTGATAGTTTTGTATTTTGAAGTTCATGTTTTATAATTTTTTTATTCTGAGTCGTTAATTCATATGTTCTTGTTTAAAAAATAACTTAAGAGGGCTTTTTTAGATATGGATATGATTTGTTTTGTGAATTATATGTTGACTTACTAGCGCCATGGTATATTTGTTTATCAAATTGTGGTTAGCAATACTTATGCTACTTATAGTTGTTGAGTAAAAAATAGTTATATATTTATCTGCACTTCTAAAATGCTAAATTGGAGGTTGAAGTCTTTTGTTTGAAGCCCTCCTATGTATTTCAATCTTTTATTTTTTTTGTTTTATGTATGAATATAATGTTTCGTGAAGTATCTATTAATGCAGTTTTAGTGCTTGTTCATTATTTTAGTCAGGAACACAGTCTTGAATATCGTCTGAATTTCTTTTCTTTTCTTTTTTTTCTTCTAGATACAAAGCCTCCATTTCTCGATGGTAGGGTGGTTTATACAAAGCAAGCAGAGCCTGTAATGCCTATAAAAGATCCTACATCAGATATGGCTATAATTTCACGCAAAGGATCTTCTTTGGTAAGAGAGATACACGAGAAGCAGAGCATGAACAAATCCCGACAACGGTTTTGGGAGTTAGCTGGGTCAAAACTTGGTGATATCCTGGGAGTTCAAAAAACGGCTGAGCAGGTAATTATTCTAATCTCAGAAGAATTTATTCCATTTCACTATTCTCATGTAACTTTACAACTTCGATTTTCTAATGTTGTTTTAAATGTTCAGGTAGATGCAGATACTGCTGTTGTTGGAGAACTTGGTGAAGTTGACTTCAAAGAGGAGGCAAAATTTTCTCAGCATTTGAAAGAGAAAGGTGAAGCAGTGAGTGATTTTGCCAAGACAAAATCAATTTCTCAACAGAGGCAGTATCTTCCTATATATTCTGTTCGTGAGGAACTATTGCAGGTTGATATTTCTTCGTTAACATTTCATTCAATGTTCTCATAAATGATTGAAATGTTTTGTGCTCGCATTCTTTGTTTTCTCTATGATTGTGCTTATTGCATTTATATTTTACATCTCAAATAACCTAACTTTGTAAATATGTTATTTTCCGTTGGTGGTATTGCATAGTTTCTCTATACAATTATTTTACAGTATATCTTTAGTTTTATCATACATTCATACAGAGGAGAAGATGTAGCAAGGAGAGGAGATGGGGTTAATGTAAAATGCACAGCAAGGCTAGGCTTAGGGAAGGATTGACTAATATAACTTGGTTAGAAGATATTTGAAAAGAATATGCATAAATAAAGTAAGCAGTAAATGTAACACTCAAAGCTCGAACCAAGTGCAATGGTTATGTTGCCTTCATTGTGACTTAGAGGTCAATGTTCAGATCATAAAAACAACTTTTCTATAATTTGGGAATAAGGGTGAGCCCTGTCTTGGCTTGCAATTATGGGAGCCTCATGCGCTTGGTACCTGGCACACATCACATGCAACACTTTATGAACATAGGTCGAAGAGAGAGATTCATGAATCGACCCAAAATTGAGGGATAATGCTAATGATGATGATTGGGACTCATTTAATGTTTCAACTGGAAGTTTTTGATAGATAAAGAGTTTTTTGTTTATAACTCAAATTAGCATTATCTTTCCCTCTTCAGGTATTGATGATGTGTATGTAACTACTTGCTCAGTACTTGTAGTTTAAAAGGGGATATTAGTAGTTTTTGTGATAGCTTTCTATAAATTTTTATATAGGGCACATTACACTTAGTTTCCATTGGTCCTCTTCTTTTAAAATTTCATGAAGTTCCTTCAGTTTACAATCTCCAACTTGGCAGCTTAGTGGTGTTAGCCAATTGTTGTTAGTTCCAAGCATGCGATCATGCATGTGATTTGTAAGTGAATATCACACATTTTAGTTGACTATAATACCCTTTTTAGCTTCTTAGAAATCTGTATCCTTTGTTCTAGATAAAAAATCTAGTGGAAATAGGAAAAATACATCCGAGTGGGTTAAACAAAGAGTTCTCATTAAACAAAAATAACAAAACATTATCAAAGCATGTAAGCCAAAATACCCTTGAGAAATGGGAGTTAGAGCCTTGTCATGAAACACTTGACAAATACATGCTAAAAATACTAAAATCGAAAAAGATAATTGTTATTGGATAAAATTGTGATTTTTTTAAAACGCTGAACAAGAAGAACAAATGTACTCAATTGATGTAAGCCAAGGTCTTACAAAGAAATCCAAGGGTTTAAAAAGAAATCCTTGATAATGTGAGTTAGAGCTTCACTGAGAAACCCTTGACTAATGTGAGGCAATGAAGCATTAAATTTAGGATAAGAATGATGTGAGTATTTGCCGTCTAGTTAATGTGGTTCTTTATGACTATAAGTATTTGATTTTGGCTCTGAGATTCATAGAAATTTATGACAATCACCTTATAAGAAGCACAGAAAGAGATTAAGGATGTGGGTGCTAAAAAACATGTTTTATCTTAATGAAGGTCCCCAATTGAGCTTGTAATGTAAGGTTTTTAGGTATTAATAGAATTTTTAACAAAACAATCATGATAGGGACCTGTATACGTCATTCAATCTCAAGGACTTGTGTCACTGTGTGTATTATACTTATTTATACATGTTGATGGAAATTATGGATGCGGTTTTTAAACTTTTGCTGAAAGAAAAAACTAAATCTTTTATGGGTTATAGCGATGCGATTTATTTCTCACCTTGGTTATATAAGTTCTTTGATGTCAACCTTTGTGGTGTTGTTTATGCCCCAAGTTTTTTTCTCATCTTCTTTGTCACAAATTTTTTTATTTTTTGCGTGTTTTGTCAACATTTGGCCTGAGCAAATTGTGTTTGATTTTATTTCTTTTGAAGATTATTAATTTAATCTCGGCGCTTAGATTTCACTTTGTTGCATATTGGAGGCATTGTGCTCATAAAAATGGAAGTTGTTTTGAAAGAGAGAATGAAACTGTGTTTGTATTATCTTTTAACCTCAACCACTAGATAATATTTTGACAAAATATGTCTTATAAGAATACATTTTTAGCTCTCTTTTTATTCTTGGGGTGCATAGGTGCTGGAAGGGTTTTCATAGTTGTTGGCAAACTTTGAGTGCTGCATGTCTATTTAACCACTTTCCAGTTTGCATATAATCCTAATTCATAGAAGTAGAGACCATCTATGATATTGGGCTTAGAAATTGTGAGCATGCTTGCTTTATTTCTCTTCTGGTTTAAAACCTATTTTTTCACTTTTTACTATTTCTACATGAAACTTTTACTCTCTTTATCATCGTAATTAGCAGGCTCTAATTTCTTCTTTTTTTTTGTCTAGCCTAGGATTTCATGATGATTAGGGAAGTTGATGCGAGAATTATTTCATTTTATGGAACATATGTATTTATTCTTTTTTTGCTTTTTGGTAGAGAAACTGCATATTTTTCTATATTTTATATTCAAGGAAACTTAGCTATTTTATTTGCCTAGTCTTATTATATTTCATATAATCTTGGAAGGTGATACGAGAAAATCAGGTAGTGATTGTTGTTGGAGAAACGGGCTCAGGGAAAACAACACAATTGACCCAGGTTTGTTTTAGTAACTTTGAATTTTATTGTTTATATTTAACTCATTGATTGTAACTAATCCTAAACAATTTTATAGTATCTACATGAATATGGATATACTACGAATGGGATTGTTGGATGTACTCAACCGAGACGTGTAGCTGCCATGAGTGTTGCAAAACGAGTTAGTGAGGAGATGGATACAGAATTAGGGGATAAAGTAGGGTATGCTATTCGATTCGAGGATGTCACTGGTCCGAACACAGTGATAAAGGTAGCATTTTTCCTTGTATTTTTCACTTCTTTAGAAATGATGAGATAAATTTTGTTTTCTCACTTACGTTATTTTAAGAGAAGGCTATTGTTAATTCTTGAAAGCCTTAATTGTTGCTTGTGTGCCTACAAATCTATAATCTAATTGTTTGTTTAGTTGCTTTTCTTTGTAAGTCATCTATTGAGCTAACACATGCAAACGGTGAGCATCCCCCAACTTCATAAATTAGTAGCTGATAGTTGAGTTGCACAATGCCATAACGCATGTCAAACATTCTCTCTTCATTTATCAAACCTAGAAATTGTAGATTATATTTTACTTGTTTGTTGACAATTTTCTCAAAGAATAATCATTGGTTTGAACACAATGATAATGGTAGCCCTTTTCCTTATACCTTTCACTTCTTTAGAAATGATGAGATACATTTTATTTTGTCAATTGCATTATTTTAAGAGAAGGCTATTGTTAAATACTTGAAAGCTTCAACAGTTTCTTATGTGCCAATGAAGCCAGAATCCTATCATTTGTTTAGTTGCTTATCTTTGTAAGTCATCTATCTAGCGGACATACAGAAAGCTTCAGCTACCGCAACTTGCTAAATTAGTAGTTGATAGTTTTGAGTTATGAAAAGAATAAGTTCCCACTATGCCATTCAAATATACTCTCTTCATTTATGGAAGTTAGAAATATTAGATTATGCTTTCTTGGTTGTGAGAATTTTTCTCGAAGGATAATCATTGGTTCAAACATAGTGATAAAGGTATCACAGTTCCTTGATTTTTCACTTTTTAAGAAATGATGATATACATTTTGTTTTATCAATTGCATTATTATAAGTGAAGGCTATTATTAAATTCTTGGAAGCCTTAATAGTTGCTTATGTGTCGACAATCCATCATTCGATCTTTTGTTTTGTTGCTTATCCTTTTAAGTCATCTATAGAACCGACACATACAAAGTGTGAGCAGCCCCAACTTTCTAACTAGCAGTTGATAATTTTGAGTTTTGAAAAGAATATTTTCCTACTATACCATTAGACATATCAAATAACTCTTCATTTATAAAATTTAGAAATATTAGTTTATGTTTGGTTGTGGGAAATTTTCTCAAAGGATAATCTTTTCCTTCTACCTTATTTCTCTTTCCTCTTTATGTCCCTCCTTAATCATTAACATCTACTTTATTCTTTCACGAAAGCTACTGGTAGATTAGCACTAGTATCTAGTGTCGGGGTGATACCTTACATTTTTTACAACCTCGTTTCCACGCAGTGCTACTTGTCCAACTCTTATATCCACATTCTTCTAATTTATTTGCTCTCTGAAGATTAGATTTACCCTGAAATTTACCAACTATGCTGTAGCTTAATGTAGCTTGCCACATTTGTTTTATTTTCAGTGTTTACGCTTTTACAACTAAATTTATCAAGCTATTCATGCTTATATTGAGAAATTTATCTTTGCCTGACCTATTTCAAGAATGGAAGCAATGATTGTTAAGTAGATCTTAGATTTAAGTGTTCTTGTATACTAATTTTTTTATATCCGTGTTTCAGTAATTAGTATAATATTTGAATCATATCTTAAAATTATTTAATTAGGTAAGCATTTTATTTTAAAGTAAAAATTTGCTGCCGATTTTTTCAATTTATTCATTTTCTTTTTGTCTCCCCATGTAGCGGGACAAAGGCTTGATGTTGTTATTGTTGTATTCATTCTTTTTTTGTCTATCAATATTCAAGAATATCATTGTTATGATGTTTGAAATTATTCATCTTAACTACCACTAACCCTACCTCCTCTCCCCACCCAAAAAGAATAATCTGCCAATTGTTTTCATATTGTTAAAAGGACAAAAATAGTCTATTGACTCTTTAGGAAGGACCAAAATGATCCACAATTATAGTAAAAGACCATTTTGGTCCCTCTAGTCTTTAAAAATGAATCAAATTAGTTCCATGGTAGGAGTATGTTGGTTCCTCTTGAAGGAGTTGATGAAACAAATTGATCCTTTAATTGTGAGAACTGGGCTTAACCAATTTAGTAGAACCGGCTTAATACTATAGCATAGAGCGGAACAGAGAGCAGAAAGGTGATCCGAGCAGGCCGTGTGCGTGTATACGTCTATTGGACTGATCGTTTCGTCGTTCTAAGTGGATAATTGAGCGAGGGAGTGAAAAAGAATGACTTATCATGCTAGCTATCTTCATTTCGCTTCATCCAATTCGACAAATGAGCGAAAGAAACTGAGATAACATCAACCAAGAGGAAGAAGAAGGAGAAGAAAGGAAAAAGATACAAAGGAAGAGAGAAAGGAAGACGAAACCTACAAGCAAATCCAAGCAGAGATCGTGATTTTAGCGGCGAGTTTGGAGAGGCTGGAGAGGCTAGCGACGAGTGAGGAATTGAGCGGCGAGCATAGGCTAGAAAGGTAAGATTTTCTTTTATATATATATTTTGAGAAAAAGAGGGAAAAATACTTTAATTAAAATGTTGATAATTATAAATTAGTTAATATATTTATAGTGAGCATATTTAAATTCGTATATGAGATTTTAAAATTAGATAAAGAATGAATTAAATTATATTATAATAGTAAATTTAATTTAAATGAACATTAAATTTGTGAGCTAAGGATACATGGCATTGAAAATAAGAGAGTAATTAATTCCAGAAAGAAAATTTTAATTTAGAAATTAATAATAAAATAAGATAGATATTTAAAATGAAAGATTATGATATTTAAATCAAAATATGGATTTTAATTGAAAATGCTAATTAAGAGAAATTTAATGTAATAAAGAAAATACTAGGATTTTCCACTAGAATTAACTCCACAGAGAGAGAGAGAGAGAGAGAGAGAGTATATTTAATTAAGTTATAAGTTAATGATAATTAAATCATGATTCATATATTGTGGAAACAAATGTTTTTAGGAACAGCTTTGCCAAAAGCCAATCAATTGTTGGCATAGAAAAGATGATTTTTTTTTTTGTGAGTATCAGATTTGATGTCAGTGTAGTTGCTACATTCCACATGATCTAGTAAAAAAGTGAGGGAATCCATAATGAAGTAGAAAGGCAAGGGGATAGTGGGTACTCTTACATATGCCCATTAGAGGAAGTGAAAAACTCATTAGGACCATCATTAAGAATTACAGAGAAGTAGATGTCATAAATGCATGTTTGAATCCACAAAATAAGGTATTTGGTACTTTGACGACCAATCTCTTCAAAAGGAAATTTTTATCGGCACTTTCAAAAGCCTTTCTTATTGTTAATTTTAGCTCAAAAATGTCTTCCAAATCCGAACTTGTTGAGAAATTGACGAGTTCACTCGCGAGAATGTTGTTACTTGAAAGTACTATGATTTTGTATAAGTTACAGATATGACTTCAAAAGGGGAAAAAAGTTTGATGGAATACATTTTTTAAAAAAGTTTGAAGGTATTTGGTTCTGATTTTGACAAGATGTTTGAAGTAGACTATGATGCATCTCATGTAGGCATAGGAGCTGTCCTTAGTCAAGAGGGTCGACATGTTGCTTTCTTTAACGAGAAACTCAATGATACCCGATCTCGATATTCGACTTACGATATTGAGTTCTATGCGATTATTCAGGACCTAAAATTCTAGAGACATTATCTTATTCAAAGAGAATTTGTGTTAAACTTTGATCATGAAGCTCTACGATACTTAGGATCTCAAAAAAAATTGAATCAAAGACATGGTAAGTGGACATCTTTCTTACAAGAATATACATTTCATCTTAAACACAAAGCTTGAATTTTGAATAATGTCGCTGATGCCTTAAGCAGATGAGCCTATTTATTGGTAACTATCCACCAAACTATGATTTCCTTGATTCTTTAAAAGATAGCTATGCACTGACCCATATTTTAAAACTATTTGGAAATCATGTTGTACTTCTGGAACTGACCCACCCTTCTGCTCAATTTACCATCCAACAAGGATTTCTGTTTAAGGGAACTAGACTGTGTATCACCCGAAGCTCTTTATGTGAAAAACTCATCCAAGAACTTCATAGTGGAGGATTAAGAGGACATTTTGGTCAAGGAAAGACTACCGCTTTAATTGAAGAGCTATATTTTTGGCCCCACATGCGAAAATATATAACGAAGTTTGTAAAACAATGTAAAATCTATCAAGAATTCAAAAGAATAACTCAAAAAACTAGTCTATACACTCCACTCCCAATTCCAAACAAACCTTGAGAATATATCACCATGGTCTTCATTTTAGAATTACCTGTATCTGCCTGAAAGTTTGATTATGTGTTTGTTGTTGTTGACCGATTTAGCAAAATGACACATTTCATCCCTTGTAAGAAAATCTCTAATGCATCTCATGTCGTGGATTTATTTTTTAAAGAAATTGTGAGATTACATGGCATACCTAGAACTTTGAACTTTGACAGGGATACTAGGTTTTTAAGCCATACATTAGGGACTATTTTCCAATTTAGTAGTGCATATTATCCACAAACATATGGATAGACTGAAGTCCTAAACAGAAGTTTAGGAAATTTGCTTAGGTGTCTTGCCGGATAAAGACCATTTCAATGGGATTTGATTTTACCCCAAGCCGAATTTTTTTATAACAATTCCCTTAATCGATAAACTGGAAAAACCCCGTTTGTAATTATTTATGGCCAACATATTCCCCACATTTTAGATCGAACTTCTATACACATGCCTAGTAGAATCAGTCTTGAAGCTACACAAATTGTTGATCATATTCAATCGGTCCAACGTCAGGCCCTATAGAAACTCTGTATGACAAATGCTAAATACAAAACAGCTGTTGAAAAACACCAGTGTTATTTTCAAGGAGACGCTTTTCCATTGGTACATTTAGCAAACTAAGTCGAAAGAAATTTGGTCCTTTATAGATTATGTGAAAATTGGGAACAAATGCTTACCTGCTGGATCTTCCACCTTATGTCGGAACTTCCCTTTGTGTTTAGTGTTGTCGACCTTACT